TTAGCTGTCCCTGATTGTTTTTTTTTTGTCTGGAGTTCCCCTGAGTTTGTTGTCCCACTCCGAGATAGACACACCGCTCTCTACACTAGAGTGAAGGTAGTTTGGCGGCATTTTCACATTCGACACTGTCAAATCAACGCAGCGTGGCACCACTTTTGACACCACTGCTTTGGAATTGTGGGAGTTGTAGTTCTCTCTGCCAAAGGGTGCTGGTGCAATGCTTCCACAGCAGCAAAAGCAGGGTCCAGGATGGGCCAATTCCCGCAGCATTGATGCTGCCCAGGCTCTGGCATTCGAAGGCTTGGAAAGGGCCTTGCGCCAACTGCCTTAAGATCCCTGAGAACGGCGCAATGCGCACATTCGAGGCCGGAAAGCTGTCTGTTCTAATCACTTTGATGGGTGGAATTAATTGGTCTGAGAAAACTAACCGTGTCGGCTTCGGCCACACCCATCGTCCACAATGCCAAGGCTCCCTCCCATGTTGACCTATGGGGAGGTTGCGCACACAAAGGCGCCTGGGCGTGAACCCCTAAACAACTCCCCACCCTTACGCTGCCATTCTCCTTCACCTGGAAGGGGTTTGGGTGGGGCTGGATACCTGCCGGGCGGGGATGCCAGGAATGCCCCATTGGCGCAAATGGAATGCTCGCCTTTGGGGGCTCAATGGCCTCGCCCCAATCCGGCTGCGCATGAGACCCACGTCACACGGCAATCCCGTTAGCGCTGAAGTGCTCCCCTTGTGTCCAATGCCAAAAATGCAATAATGGAGTCCAATGCCTACAAGGTACTCATTGAGTCCAATGCACCCATCAAGCACAATGCCTAAAGTTTACTAATGGGGTTGAATGCACCCCTTGAGTTCAATGCATTAAGTGGATTCATTTAGTGCAATGCATTTCATGTACTCAGTGAGCCCAACGCACCAACTGAGCTCAAAGCACCCATTGAGTCCAATGACTAAAGTTTACTAATGGGGTTGAATGCACCCCTTGAGTTCAATGCATTAAGTGGATTCATTTAGTGCAATGCATTTCATGTACTCAGTGAGCCCAACGCACCAACTGAGCTCAAAGCACCCATTGAGTCCAATGACTAAAGTTTACTAATGGAGTTAAGTGCACCCCTTGAGTTCAATGCATTAAATGGATTCATTTAGTGCAATGCATTTCATGTACCCAGTGAGCCCAATGCACCAAATGAGCTCAATGCACCCATTGAGTCCAATGACTAAAGTTTACTAATGGAGTTAAGCGCACCCCTTGAGTTCAATGCATTAAATGGATTCATTTAGTGCAATGCATTTCATGTACTCAGTGAGCCCAATGCACCAAATGAGCTCAATGCACCCATTGAATCCAATGACTAAAGTTTACTAATGGAGTTAAGCGCACCCCTTGAGTTCAATGCATTAAATGGATTCATTTAGTGCAATGCATTTCATGTACCCAGTGAGCCCAATGCACCAAATGAGCTCAATGCACCCATTGAGTCCAATGACTAAAGTTTACTAATGGAGTTAAGCGCACCCCTTGAGTTCAATGCATTAAATGGATTCATTTAGTGCAATGCATTTCATGTACTCAGTGAGCCCAATGCACCAAATGAGCTCAATGCACCCATTGAATCCAATGACTAAAGTTTACTAATGGAGTTAAGCGCACCCCTTGAGTTCAATGCATTAAATGGATTCATTTAGTGCAATGCATTTCATGTACCCAGTGAGCCCAATGCACCAAATGAGCTCAATGCACCCATTGAGTCCAATGACTAAAGTTTACTAATGGAGTTAAGCGCACCCCTTGAGTTCAATGCATTAAATGGATTCATTTAGTGCAATGCATTTCATGTACTCAGTGAGCCCAATGCACCAAATGAGCTCAATGCACCCATTGAATCCAATGACTAAAGTTTACTAATGGAGTTAAGCGCACCCCTTGAGTTCAATGCATTAAATGGATTCATTTAGTGCAATGCATTTCATGTACCCAGTGAGCCCAATGCACCAAATGAGCTCAATGCACCCATTGAGTCCAATGACTAAAGTTTACTAATGGAGTTAAGCGCACCCCTTGAGTTCAATGCATTAAATGGATTCATTTAGTGCAATGCATTTCATGTACTCAGTGAGCCCAATGCACCAAATGAGCTCAATGCACCCATTGAATCCAATGACTAAAGTTTACTAATGGAGTTAAGCGCACCCCTTGAGTTCAATGCATTAAATGGATTCATTTAGTGCAATGCATTTCATGTACCCAGTGAGCCCAATGCACCAAATGAGCTCAATGCACCCATTGAGTCCAATGACTAAAGTTTACTAATGGAGTTAAGCGCACCCCTTGAGTTCAATGCATTAAATGGATTCATTTAGTACAATGCATTTCATGTACCCAGTGCGCCCAATGCACCAAATGAGCTCAATGCACCCATTGAGTCCAATGACTAAAGTTTACTAATGGAGTTAAGCGCACCCCTTGAGTTCAATGTATTAAATGTAGCCCTTCCATTCACCGCACCCATTGAGTTCAATGTCAAAAGTGTACTAATGGAGTTTGTTTTTTCTTTGTTTGTTTGTTTGTTTTGTCGTGTCAGGAGCGACTTGAGAAACTGCAAGTCCCTTCTGGTGTGAGAGAATTGGCCGTCTGCAAGGACGTTGCCCAGGGAACACTGCCCATATGTTTTTGATGTGTTACCATCCTTGTGGGAGGCTTCTCTCATGTCCCCGCATGAGGAGCTAGAGCTGACAGAGGGAGCTCATCCGCGCTCTCCCCAAATTCGAACCTGTGACCTGTCGGTCTTCAATCCTGCCGGCACAAGGGTTTAACCCACTACAACACCGGGGGCTCCACTAATGGAGTACAATGCCTAAAATGTCCTCACTGAGCTCAATGCACCCATTGAGCCCAATGCCTAAAGTTTAGTAATGGGGTTCAGTGCAGCCCTTGAGTTCAATTCATTAAATGGACTCATTGAGTACAATGCATGTCATATACTCATTGAGTCCAATGCACCAAATGGGCTCAATGCACCCAACATGGTTGGTGAGGACGAGGGACAGGGCCTTCTCGGTGGTGGCCCCCTTCCTGTGGCATTCACTCATTGAGTTCAATGCATGTCATATACTCATTGAGTCCAATGCACCAAATGGGCTCAATGCACCCAACATGGTTGGTGGGGACGAGGGACAGGGCCTTCTCGGTGGTGGCCCCCTTCCTGTGGCATTCACTCATTGAGTTCAATGCATGTCATATACTCATTGAGTCCAATGCACCAAATGGGCTCAATGCACCCAACATGGTTGGTGGGGACGAGGGACAGGGCCTTCTCGGTGGTGGCCCCCTTCCTGTGGCATTCACTCATTGAGTTCAATGCATGTCATATACTCATTGAGTCCAATGCACCAAATGGGCTCAATGCACCCAACATGGTTGGTGGGGACGAGGGACAGGGCCTTCTCGGTGGTGGCCCCCTTCCTGTGGCATTCACTCATTGAGTTCAATGCATGTCATATGCTCATTGAGTCCAATTGCATTGAGTCCAATTGCTATGGAAATGGTTTATGGATAAGCTTAATGGAGCCTACAATTACAGAACTCGACGGGACGAGGCCACCAGACTGGATCTATTTTTTAGTAGACTTGATTGTATTAATTTAATGCTTTTAACTATTTATAATTATTGATTTTGACGTGTATTTTATTGTATTTTATGTGTAGGCATCAAATATGTGCCGGCTGGAAGCTGCCCTGAGTCTAAAGTTTACTAATGGAGTTGAGTGCACCCTTTGAGTTGAATGCACTCAATGGACTCATTGAGTTCAATGCAGTAAATGCACCCCTTCCATTCCCTGCACCCATTGAGTTCCTTGGCAAAAGTGTACTAATGGGGTACAATGCCTAAAATGTACTCATTGAACTATATCCACCCATTGAGCCCAATGCTTAAAGTTTACTAATGGAGTTTAATACACATTTGAGCTCAATGTATGTATTAAATGTAGTCATTGAGTCCAATGGAAGCTTTGATGCAATAACGCTTTTGTTTACAACGAAGGAATTTGAATTATGCAGCAACTGCAATGCATACTTTTTGGGGCCAAATTACAAAGCATGCCCTTTTTGCGCATGACAATATCCTTTTGGAGGGTTTCAGGATTTTGGAAATTAAGGTGTGCATTCGATTCGATGGCGCATGAAACTCGGGCTGCTTCGAGTCTCCTTGTGGGGAGAAATAAATACTACAACAACGACAACATAATGCGGTGTCTTTCAAAGATGGCCTTAACCAGGCTTTAACCCCATCCTTTAGGATTGAAGCAAAGTCCATTATTCTGCCCCGCCCCACCCCAAATCTACCCTCGACTCATGGATGAGTCCAATGTAGTGCTATGTCTCAAGCAGAGACTGGATGGCCATCTGTTGGGGGTGCTTTGATGGTCCTTTTACGCCTGGCAGAAAGAAGGGGGCTGGACTGGGTGGTCTTTAGAGTCTCTTCCAACCCTATGGAAACTCTGGAGTTTTTCCAGGCCTCCCCATCTCTAATTCAGATCATCTTTCCTGTTGAGGAGAAGAACGGAGAGTGTTATTTGAACGAGAAGTACTCACAAAGGAAACGAACGCAGCCATAAGGAGGATGCGCACCAAGAGATCCTCAAATTGCTCCAAGATGAGTTCCAGAAGGGACTTCCCTAAGAATGAGAGAAGAATAGGAAAAATTTAGAATACCGAATGATACACAAGGCGACAATTCTGCAAATGAAGGCCTGCTCCCATACTTGGAAGGACAGTCGTGTCTCCTCCCCATTTCCAGGGCATTGGATGACTGGCGGGTTCAACGTAAGAAGTTCTCCCTAGGAATCTTGACCGTCAGCTTCCAATGCTAAAGTCTAGTTCTACAACTTCTATGATCCCCAGGTGGTTAACCTCATTATTTCAACAGTGTAGAAACCCTAACTCTGAAGACAGGACAACTGAGGGACCTACCTTCTTCAGCGGGAAGTTCTACAGGTTTCCGATGGAAGATCCAAAAGCAGCCACAATGGAACAAGAGAAGGAGAAACAAAGACAGGAGTTATTGATTCACAAAGGCATGGACCGTATCAAAGCACAACAAATACGATTTGTCATAACACACTGGTGGTATCTCCTCCAACTTCCTCTCAGAGCTGAGCCCTATCTTCTCCACCTTCTTCTCAGACCTGAGCTCCATCTTCTCCACCTTCTTCTCATACCTGAGGCCTATCTTCTCCACCTTCCACTCAGACCTGAGCCCTATCTCCTCCAACTTCCTCTCAGACCTGAGGCCTAGCTTCTCCAACTTCTTCTCAGGCCGGAGACCTATCTTCTCCAACTTCCTCTCACATCTGAGCCCTATCTCCTCCAACTTCTTCTCAAACTGGAGGTCTATCTTCTCTGACTTTCTCTCCGACCTGAGCCCTATCTTCTTTAACATTCTCTCACACCTAAGGTCTATCTCATCCAGCTTCCTCAAAGATCTGAGGCCAATCTTTTCCAACTTCCTCTCACACCTGAGGCCTATCTTCTCGACCTTCCCCTCAGACCTGTGCCCTATCTCCTCCCTGTCTGACCTGAGTTCTATCTTCTCCAACTTCCTATCAGAACATAGACCTATCTCCTCCAACTTCTTCTCAGGCCAGAGACCTATCTTCTCCAACGTCCTCTCCGATCTGAGCCCTATCTCCTCCAACTTCTCAGACTGGAGGTCAATCTTCTCCAACTTCCTCTTCGACCTGAGACCTATCTTCTCCAACTTCCTATTAGAACACAGGCCTATCTCCTCCAACTTCTTCTCAGGCTGGAGACTTATCTTCTCCAACTTCCTCTCAGATCAGAGCCCTATCTCCTCCAACTTCTTCTCAGACCGGAGGTTTATCTTCTCCAACTTCCTCTCAGATCTGAACCCTATCTTCCCCAACTTCCTCTCCAACATGTCTATCTTCTCCAACTTCCTCTCCGACCTGAGCCCTATCTACTCCAACTTCCTATCAGAACATAGGCCTATCTCCTCCAACTTCTTCTCAGGCCTGAGACCTATCTCCTTCAACTCCCTATCAGAACATGGGCCTATCTCCTCCAACTTCTTCTCTGGCTAGAGACCTATCTCCTCCAACTTCCTATCAGAACATAGGCCTATCTCCTCCAACTTCTTCTCAGGCCTGAGACCTATCTTCTCCAACTTCTTCTCAGGCCTGAGTCCTATCTCCTCCAACTTCCGCTCAGACCTGAGGTCTATCTTCTCCAACTTCTTCCCAGAATGCAGGCCTATCTTCTCCAAAACCCTGACTGGTAATTTCCTACCAAGCCGTTTTCTCAGGCTTGGTTCCACCTGAAATGTCCTTGACGTTGAGTTTTCTCCATAGAAATGGACGTGGGAGACCTAAAGGGCCCTTGGCTTGCCCAGTGCTGGGCCGCTTTCAATTGTTTATTTTCCTTCTTCTCCCTGTAACCTTTGATGAAGACAATACACCATTCACAAAGGTGGAGAGGATCCAGGATGTCCTGTTCGCCATTCCATGAAGGTGTACGAACTTCCCGCAGTTTAGGGAAAGCAGCGTGGCCCCAAAAGGAAGGAAGGAACCCCATTCAGAGATGCAGCGTTTTCTCTACAAAGGTCTACCAAGTCTACCATGGAAGCAGAAATGAGCCAACGGAGCACAGGGAAGCAAATGGGGCCCATTCCCAGCCGCAAATATTTCGGAAAGAGGAATAGATATGTAAGCATAATAAAGATATATAGTTCACAAAACCGCTGTGCCAAAATAAAAACTGTTTTGTCATTTACTCCTTCGGAAATATTTTGAAGATTTACTCAAGGAAGGAAGGAAGGAAGGGAAGGAGGAAAGGATTCGCCCCAAATAAATAAAGTTATATAGGCCTAAATATAGTCATAAAATTAACTCGGGTCATAAAATTTGGCTCAGTATCTGAAGTATCTGAAGAGCTGCAAGGGAAGAAGGAAGGAAGGGCAGAAGGGAGGGAGGGAAGGAAGAAGAAGGAGGGAAGGAAGGAGAAAGGAAAGAGGGGAAAGGGAAGAAGAAAGGAAGGAAGGACAAAGAAGGAGGAGGAAGAGAAGGAAGGAAAAGGGAGGGAAAAGGAGAGGAGGGAAGGGAGGGAGGGTGGAAAGAGGAAAGGGAGGGTGGGAGGGAGGAAGGAAGGAAAAGGAAGAAGAAAGGAGGAAGGGAGGAAGAAGGTGGGAAAGGAGAGAGAAAGAAGAAGAAGGGGATGAAGGAAGAGGAGGGAAGGAAGGGGGAAGAAAGGGAAGAAGGAGACAAGGGAGGAAGGGCGGGAGGGAGGAAGGGAAGAAGGAAGGAATGGAGGGAGGGATGGGGGAGGAAGGGAAGGGGGTGGGAGTTAGAAGGAAGGGAAAAAGGAGGGAGGCGGAAGTGAAGACGGAGGGAAGGGAGGAGAAGGAAGGAAGGAGAAAGGAAGAGGGAGGAGGAGAAAGGAAGGAAGAAGAAAAGAAGGGAGGGAGGAAAGAGAAGAAGGAAGAAGGAAGGAAGGAAGGAAGGAAGCAAGGAAGAAAAGAAGGAAGGAAGAAGAAAAAGAAGGAGGGAGGGAAGAAGAGAAGGGGAAGAGAAAGAAGGAAGAAAGGAAGGAAGGAGGAGGAAGGAAGGAAGGAAGGAAGGGAGGAGAGGAGGGGAAGGGAAGAAGGAAAGAAAAGAAGGAAGAAGAGAAAGGAGGAGGAGAGGAAGGAAGAAGGAAGGGAAGAAGGAGGGAGGAGAGAAAGAAGAGTAGAGAAGGAAGGAGAGATGGAAAGAGAAGACTTGTAGGCAGGGAGGGATTAAATACATTAAGGGATTGAGTTAGTTAAAAGGAAAGTAAACGAATGAAATAAAATAAGTAAGAAGAAGGAAGGAAGGATAGAATGAAGGAAGTGGGAATGGGATGGGGGAGGGAATAAGGGAAGTAATGTGAGGGAGTGGAGAGGGAGGTATGGATGGAGTGAAATAAGGACGATCATTGAATAATTCGTGGTTTTATGGAGGAAAGAAAGGGAGAGAAGAAAAGAAGGAGAAAAGAAAGAAGGGGAGAAGGAAGGAAGGAAGGAAGACGGAAGGAAGGAAGGAAGGAAGGAAGGAAGGAAGGAAGGAAGGAAGGAAGAGTTATTCCACATAAGAAAGATCTATAGGCATCACTCTGGTCATAAAACCTCTGTACTCGAAATAATATCATTTATGCCTTGGAAAACATGTTTTATCATTTTGCTTATGGATGGATGGAGGAGGAGGAGGAGAAGAAGGAGAAGGAAAAGGAAGGGAGGGAAGTTTACCCCATAATAAAGACATCGTGTATAGGCATATCTTACTTAACAAAACTTCCGTCTCCAAAATAATAGCTGCAATGCCACTTACTTCTTAGAAAGCATGTTTAAGATTCACAGGAAGGAAGGAAGGAAGGAAGGAAGGAAGGAAGGAAGGAAGGAAGGAAGGAAGGAAGGAAGGAAGGGAAAAGGGTGAGACTTGGGTCTCAATGGCCAACTTCTTCCCAGGACGGCACAGGTTAAACTATCCAGAGACTAAACTTCTCGGGGGATTAATTTGGCGGAAGAAAGGGAAGTCACACTGCCGGGCGAACTGGTCTGTTTGACTAATGCTGACATTTTCGGGCCTGCCAAGTCAAACAAGCGTCCTGTTTGCAAAGGGAATCCCCACTGCCTGGTGAAGGGAGAAAGACACAATCCGATCCCTCGCAACAGAGGGCCAGCCAGCAGGTCGCTTTCACACGTCCTCTTTTTTTCTAGCTACTCTGCCCTCCACCTGGACACTCAGCTCCTCTGTATGCAGCCGAGAATTGTGTTGGCGTTTTTTGCTGCCGTATCACACTCTCGGCTCATGTTCAGCACCAAGACCCTTAGATCCTCTTCCCATACGCCCCCCCTGCCCTGCCCCATCCTCTACCTGTGTGCATTGCATGTTTTTCCCTATTGACATTTGCTATGTGAGTCTTGGCCTGACTCTCTAATTATTATTACTATTATTATTATTAAATTATAATTATATAATAATATATGGCAATTATTATTATAATATAATATAATTATATTATATTATTATTATATTGTTTTGGGAATCTTGGCCTAGTTCTCTCTCTATTGTTGTTGTTGTTTGGTTTGTCTTAACCTAGCTATTATTATTATTATTATTATTATTATTATTATATTTCTTTGGTTAGTCTTGCCCTGACTCTCTCTAATTATGATTATTATATAATCATATAATATAATATAGTTATATATAATAATAATAAATTATAAAATAATTATTATATTATATATAAAAATAATATTATATTATTACATAATATAATTATATTAGTATTATTATTATAGTATTGTTTTGTGAATCTTGGCCTCGTTCTCCCTCTATTGTTGTTGTAGTTTGGTTTGTCTTACTCTAGCTCTCATTATTATTATTATTATTATTATTATTATTATTATTATTATTATATTTCTTTGCTTAGTCTTGCCCTGACTCTCTCTAGTTATTATTATTATATAATATTATATTATAATATAGTTGTATATAATAATAAATCATAAAATAATTATTATATTATATATAAAATATAATAAAAATTATTATATAATATAATATTAGTATTATTATAATAATAATATTGTTTTGTGAATCTTGGCCTCGTTCTCTCTCTAGTGTTGTTGCTTGGTTTGTCTTGCCCTAGCTCTCTCTATTATTATTATTATTATTATTATTATTATTATTATTATTATTATATCTTTGGTTAGTCTTTCCCTGACTCATTATTATTATTATTATTATTATTATTATTATTATTATTATTATATACAATTATATAGAATACATTATAATAATTTTATTATATATAATTATATATATAATAATTATAATAATACTTATGTAATACAATTATATTATTATTATATTTGTTTTGTGAATCTTGGTCTCGTTCTCTCTCTATTGTTGATTGGTTTGTCTTGCCCTAGCTCTCTTTATTATTATTGT